TGGGGCTCAGGAGGGGACAGGTGGCTGCGGGAGGCCACCTGCGGGGAGCTCACCCGGGCCGCTCCTCATCTGCGGGCGGGAGAGAGTCCGCCTGGACCTTGACTACGGGGCGTTGTAGGTGTTTTCTTTTCTCTCTAAGGATCTTATAAGTAATGCCAGCTTTATTGTAGGGGACCCAGAAATATCGATAACACTAAAGGGTAAAAAAAACCCATAATCCCGCCGCTTAAAGAGAATCCCATAATTAATAATTGGGTGTATTTTTCTCTTTAACCTTGCTCTAAATGTTGCCCGAAATCTAAACACAGTTTTATATCTTGATTTCCACCCCCCCAAGCCCCCACCCCCCATACATCCAGAGTTTGACATTTTCTTTAGTGTTGGGAAACACTATTTTTTTATTTTTATTTTTTAAAAAGATATTTTATTGATTTTTTACAGAGAGGAAGGGAGAGGGATAGAGAGTTAGAAACATCGATCAGCTGCCTCCTGCACACTCCTCACTGGGGATGGGCCCCAACCAAGGTACATGCCCTTGACCATAATCGAACCCGGGACCCTTGAGTCTGCAGGCCGATGCTCTATCCACTGAGCCAAAACAGCCAGGGCGGGAAACACTATTTAAATGGTGACAGGATAGTCTATACCATGAAAGGTCACACCATTATCCAAATGCCGGACGTGTAGTTTGACTCCAGTTTTTCTTACTCTGGGATAAACATCTTGGCTGATATCATTTGTAACATGGTGGGCAGGAGTACATGGCTATTGGCCAAAGTTTTCTCGAAAGGGTTTTATACCCTCACAAACAGGGCACAGCCTAATTAATTATCCTTTCAAAGTAATGCAGTTTAAATAACTCACGGTTTTCTAGATTTTGTCTGAGGTTAAATACTGAAATCCTAAAATCCCTTGACAATGATGATAGTTGCTACAGGCCTGTGTTCAGAAAGTGTGTACATGATTGGTCTGTTTTAAACTTGACATTGCTTGGACATGAAAAGTGTGCTTTGAGCAGGTATAGTGCTTCATAAGATTTTAATGCTGAGGACAGCCGCTATACTTGCTCCATTTTTTAACCCTAATATTTCGTTTTGTGCTGATATAGGTGGTTAGTATTGATTATAATTCAAACGGGGCAAAAATAAAGCCAACTTGGGACATGAAAGATTAATATTAAAATTCTTTGGTTTGTCACACTACTTTTGTTTTTAATGATTGCACTCTCTTAACCAGACAAAAGAAATTAGGTGGGCTTGCCATTTGGAGTTAAAATTTACTTTTGAGATAGTCAAGGATATAACTATTACACTGACATCAGTAATCAGATGGGCAGCAGAGTTGGGTACCGGGGCCCCTGGCTGATGTGGCTCAGTTGATTGGAGCCTTGTCCTGTCCCATGGTCCTGTCCCCTACACCTAAAGGTGGTGAGCAACCAATTGATGTTTCTCTCTCACATCCATATCTCTCCCTCCCTCCCTCCCTCCTTCCCTTCTCTCTAGAAAAAAAAAAGTTGGGTATGTGTTAGGAAACGCACATACTGAGGTGCTCCCAAATTCAATTGAAAGTATATATTTTTTAAGATACCATATAGTCCAGCAGGTGCTGAATATATTCCTATTAAACCCCAAAGCAAGCATCTCTTAATAAGAAAATCCGGGGTCGGCGGGAGGAGGAAGGGAATGGGATTGTTGATTTTGGAGGAAGAGTCAGTAGCTGACAGGCAAGGGTTTACCTTACCACAGGAAGGAGGGAAGGAGCTGACCCCGGGACCAAGCTAAATATGATGTTTAGACGGCTGTATGCTTCGTTTCGAAAATCAAAACAGTAATGTGTGCCAATTAGACTATATATCTATATTAAGTTATGTCGGCCACTCCAATTGTAGCTGAAAAGTAAAACATTCGGGACCACTTTTAAAGGCTTTGTGTCCCCGTAACTCGGACACTATTATCACAATGTAATTTAGCTGGGACACCAGAGTTGATAGTTGGATTCACATTTTAAAGTGGATTTTTTTTTCTTCCTAGAATGTATCTGTGAAAACTACAAACTGACCACAAACTGCTCTACGGACACGTATGGTCAATGCCGGTGTACTTCAATCGGTACACAGCATACCGTCATCTGCTCAAAATGTGAGTAGAAGATCTTCAAGGCCTTTCCGCTTTATTTTGACTTACACTTCTTTAATGGTGTGTTTTGAATTGGGAAGCCTTTTACTGGCTTAAATCTGAATCATATTATTTTGTCAGTTATCGGACTCCTGACAGCCTCTTGTCTTTAGAAAGTCAGTGGGGAACTTGCGAGTCTATAATAATCTTTGGCCCTGGGAGTTTGAAGTTAAATTAAAATTTCTTTCCTTTAAGAATAAAACTGCAGTTATTTTTCAGTATGATGTTAAAAGTTTTTTGTTTGTTTGTTTGTTTGTTTTGTAGTGGCGACCAAATGTTTGGTGATGAAGGCAGAAATGTCTCACTCCAAGTCTGGGAGAAGACCGAAACCCGAAGACGCCATTCAGAATAACGACGGACTCTACGATCCTGACTGTGACGAGAACGGACACTTTAAAGCCAAGCAGTGCAATGGCACCACCACGTGCTGGTGTGTGAACACTGCTGGCGTCAGAAGAACGGATAAGGACACTGAGAAAACCTGCTCCGAACGAGTGAGGACCTAGTGAGTTGGGTTGCCTGTTCTATTTGTTTTTTTGCTTTTCAGATTTGTTTAATTAAACTTATTTTTGAATAAGTAATACAATGTAATGATTTAGAATTCAACAGATAGAAAAGGGCGTACAGTGAAAAGTCTCCATCCTGTCTCAAGCCCCTAGTTACCTAGTTTAACTTTATAGAACTGATTCACCAGTTTATCCTACAACCTTCCAGAGATATTTTATAAATTTACTAGCAATATTTATATTTTTGCTTTATGGTAGCATATGAAACATAATTTCCCTTTAATATTTTTACTCAACACTGTTCAGTATTTCAAAGTTGGGTTAATATTAAATGTATATGAATGATTTAAGCTACTTATGTATTTGCTCACTTATAGTGGTGTTTTTGTTGTTTTGTTCTTTTTTTTAAATATTTTTTATTGATTTCAGAGAAGAAGGGAGAGGGAGAGAGAGAGACAGAAACATCAATGATGAGAGAAAATCATTGATCCACAACCCAGGCATGTGCCCTTGACCAGAATCAAACCTGGGACCCTTCCGTTCGCAGGCTGACATTCTATCCACTGAGCCAAATCAGCTAGGGCTCACTTACAGTTTTAAAGTGAGATATGGTTGTCTTGAGGATTATGTAATGAAAAAGAACAGAAACATACTCAAGCTACCATAAGCAAAAAAGGTTTTATTGGGAAGAACTAGAAACTGAAAAGGTATCAAGACCAAGATGGTCGCTCTCTACGCTTCTGTCTCCTGGAGCTTCGAGGTTACTTTTCTGTTTCTCTTGGTATCTTTCTGTGTCTTCGCTGGACCTCAGCCCAACATGACCAGAGGCCAGAGAGTCAGTGTTAGAAAGGATGTTCCCTCCTGGATGAGTTCTTTTTTTAAATACAAGGAAAAGTTTATTTAGAAAATCACAGAGGTAGGAGAAGTGAGTCGTAAAACAAGTGGGCTCAGGAAACAAGTTACAGAGGCAAAGGAAGGACCCTTGGAGCTTAGGAGAAAGAGAGGCAAGGTATGTGCTTGAGAAGGGAGTTGTGGGTGTGCCCTAGAGCAGTGGTTGGCAAACTTGCAGCTCGGCAAACTGCAGCTTGCGGAGGGGAGGGGACGGGGGCAGTGCTGGGGTGCTCCATAGAGAGAGCCACTGGATGAGTTCTTTATGAAAGATCTGAGGGCCAAGGAAAAAATTAAAGGCATATCTTTTGCATAAATCCTTTTCCTGTTACCTCTACTAGGTTATTAAGAAAATAATATAATGTAAAAGTCTGAGCTGTTATAGGTAATACTGTCTTTTTATTTTACAGCTGGATCATCATTGAACTAAGACACAAAACAAGAGAAAAACCTTATAATAGTCAAAGTTTGCAGACGTAAGTGTATTGTATTTACATGGTCGATGCTCAATTCCGTCCTACATTAGAAAAACTAAAACAAGTCACAGTGCTTTTTCGTATTTCTTAAAAAGATACTATACATACTATTTTTAATCTTATTTTGAAATAGATTTGTAAGAATAAGAAGATTTCTCTAGTACCCCTTTACTTAGATTCACCAGGAAACATTTGCCACATTTTTTTTTTATATGTGTATGTGTGTATGCATATGTGTGTGTGCTTTGGGTATCTATCTAAGCATGTATATTTCCTCCAGAACCATATGAGAGCAAATTGTAGACATCATACCCCCAATGTTGTCCTTTATAACAATTTTTTATCCTCTGACCCAGGACCCAATCTAAGATTATGCATTGGATTTAGTTGTCATGACTGTTTTCTCTTCAATATGGAACAC